TACTGTCAGAATAGAACCTAGTCCTGATCTCTTCACAGTTTCTTGTAGTGAAGTTTAGGATAAAATAGTTAGAGGTAAATAAGTACAGGTTAACCTTGGATGTGCCCTGACTTGGGTGACCCAGGCTAGCAGGATCTCATCAGGAGCTAAGCAGGGCTGACCCTGGTTTGTTCTTGGATGGGAAACACCCAAGGAAGTCCAGGACTGCTACGCAGAGGCCGGCAATGGTAAACCACCTCCAAATGTCTCTTTCCCTGAAACCCATACAGGGTCCCTATAATTCACCAGTGACTTGATGGCACTTTCCACCCCTTGATTGTTATCACCACAAACCTAACCTTTAACCCTTGCCTGTCTCTCCTCAGTTTCTCATAATTCCCTTCTTGCTTTAAAAACTTCCTTTTAATTAGATAAGGGGGTGATTTCCCACAAGCGCTGCTCCTTGCTCACTCTTCTCTTTGGCCCGATGGTACTTGTCAATTTCACACAAGCTGCTGCGTGACCGCATTTTGCCCCGCAGCTTCATGCGATTTCCCCCGCTTCTACTCAATCCTGTTTTTTGAGGATGGAGTAGATGCGGGGAAAATCGCACGAAGCTGCGGGGCAAAATGTGGCCGTGCAGCAGCTTGTGTGAAATTGACACGTACCATCGGGGCAAAAGGGAGGAGTGAGCGCGGAGCAGCGCTTGTGGGAAATCACCCTTGGAGTCAGTATAGAAAGTGACCAGTTAAGAAATTAATCCATCTCCCACCACTGAATGGTACAAACTTAAACTTACATATAAATGCAATGACAGGAATTTCTTTTTTTTTTAAAGCCCTCGGAGGGGATTTTTTATTTTTTTTAATACTACAAAAACTATCAAGAAAAAATAGGGAAGGGGTAACTACAACTAGGGAGAAAGAAAAGCAACCCACACTACACTAAAAACCCAAGGTTAGGAGATCATTCTCTGTTAAGCTACCGTTAGTAATTAAAAAAAGAAAAGCTGTTAATAAACAATATACTTTGTGAGAACCTGTCTTTCTAAGCTTATATGTTAGTTCAAAAGTTTCTTGATTGTGAAGGCAAATTCAAGCTCTTTTCTCTCAGCAGGATTTAAGGTGACACTTTCTGAGAACACTTGCAAGGAAGGAGTTAAGTCGTAAATCTTTCCTGTTTCTCTTGTACTTTTCCTCCTTTTCTCGTTGAAATCGCTGTTTAATTTAGTGCATCTCTTTCGCTTTAAAAGCCCTCAGTTCCATTTTTTCTGCTATCATTGCCAACTGGAGCTGCCGGGACACAAATTGTTGATTTATCTTGGGAAGCTGATGGTTAATACCAACAAGTTGCTCCAGAATCGGCTTGGAGGCTTCCACTATAAATGCAATAACATCTACTTCCCTTCTTCTCGGAGTTGTTTTTGCCAACTTTTTTGGAGTGTCCTCCATTTTAACGCTTTATTTTCAATATAAAATTGCTTTCTCCCCGGCTCTGAAAATCGTTTTATGCTGTTTAATTGCTTAGATGCTCATGGATATCTCCCACAACAGGCCTGTACGCTTAAAAATAAAGTCTTTCAGAAATGTCTGTTTACAGCTGTCTCTCTCTCTCTCCCCCCTCCTCCGCTTTTATAAATGCGTCAGAGAGACATCCCTCTCTCAGCACGATTCAATCGCTTAAGAAGTTTCGGGGGGGGGGTTACTTCAAAGTGTCCGTTTACAATCGTTTCTCTCTCCCCCCCTCCTCTGCTTATGTAAATGCATTTGAGAGGCGTCCCTCTCTCAGCACAATTCCGATCGCTCAAAAAGTTTTTCCTTTGGGGGGGGATTTTCTCTTCTGAAGACAATTCACTCATTTTAACTCATAGTTCGCTCCTTAACTCACAGTTCATTGTTGGTCTTTATCTTGACCACGCTCTTGATCGCTCCTCCGCTAGATCTCCTGCGCTTGACCGGATCAACACAGCTTATGGCCTTGCTGAGAGGATGCAGTCAGCGAGAGGGACAATCAGGGTGGAGGGGAGCCTCCATCTCCCTGCAGGTAGCAGGAAAAGAGGCTCACCCTCAAAAGCCCTATGGCCTGGGAGTTCCCCCCAAGCCCCCGTGGAGGTGCTGATCCAGCGGCACCTCTCCTCCCGCTGCTGGGAAGAGAGCTGGGAAGGGCATCCGCCATCGCAGTGCTGTAGACCCCGCCCTCCCCAATGACAGGAATTTCATGTGTATTTGTTTTTCTGTTATATAGCAAAATGTTCTGATCTAAAACAACAAATAAGATTTGAACTTCCACTATGAACTGCTGAGAGATGCTTCAATAAAACCATTGCTGAAAATACTAGGTGCCACCTTGAAATTTCTAGGCACCATGGTGACCTGGCTCCTGTAATTTGTTGAGCCCTGTTCTAAGGAGCTGCCTGGCTTTGCTCACTGTTTACAAACAGTGCTTTTGGGTGTTATTGTTAACATCTTCTTGTCTACATCAGGGACCCCCCAGTGCGGTGTCCATGGGCACCAGGGTGGCCACCCACACCTTTCCTGGTACCTACCAAGTTCTTTTAGAAAGTGGGTGGGGGGCTTTTGCTGGAGGGGGGCTTTTGCCAAGCAGGACTTCTGATTGGCTGTGCAGAGTGATCCTATTAAACAGAACTTCTGCCTGAAATGTTGAAGAGGTTCCAGGGCTCTTTTTGTAGCAGGAACACATTTGTATATTAGGCGACACACCCCTAATGTAGCCAATCCTCCAAGAGCTTACAGAGCTCTTCTTACAGGGGTGTGTTGCCTAATAGGCAAAGGAGTTCCTGCTACAAAAAGAGCCCTGTCTGTCTGTCTGTCTGTCTCCTTGCTTCCTGACATTTTGTGAGTGGCTCCACCTCCTGTGGTAGCCATTTGGTTATTGTGCCCACCGCCCTGTATCAGAATTCCGAAGGTGCCCACAGGCTCAAAAAGGGTTGGGGACCCTGGTCTAGAAGATTAGACATATAAACCAATGGGATGTATAAACAGAATTAAAAATCATTGAAAAGCTTGAAGTTTTTGCTCTGTTCAAAATATGATACATGCATACATATGTTTGCTTACTGCATAACCCCTATATAAAAATTGTGCAAAATTAAAATCTGGCAAGAGGAGAAAACAATGAATAACAACAAAGGGTTTCAGATGCATTTGCTCAGTTCCTGCCAAAGCGTGTGCTTTATGCAAACACAAATCCCTTTTTTCCCCTCCCTGCCCCCAGTACTGTGGCATAATGAAAAGGAGGTTGCTTTTAAATAGGAAGAGGGAGGATTTGCAAAACTGCATAACATATTGAACTCTGATGCCCACTTAGTTGAACAGATTTTTAATTCCATTTGCCTTTTATTAAGTCTGAAAGGCAAAAGTTCCTTCCTGTGTTCTCAAGTCTGCCAACTCTGCATACCCCAAATTCCCCCTGCCCCTAAGGGCTATGGCTGGCTCACTTGAGATTAATGTTGGAGTCCTATTTGACCACTGAAGCTTCCCAACTGAAGCTGTTTGCTTGCTTGACTTTCCTAATTTAGCAAAGTCATTCTGCCTCCCTGAGCCCTTTTGGACTATTAGTGTCAATTATGTCACCAAATGAGCAAGCAGATGAGGCTTGAGTATGGTGGGGAGATTCTAATGAAAGCCACATTATTTAACTCCACAGAGTCATTTTTTTCTGGTGGCTTGGTGATCTTGTCCTCTGAGCCAACAAGGTCCCTTGTGCTTTGCTCCTTACCCCTCCACTGCTCAATCTGGCTGTGGATTATTCTACTTCAGAAACAGTTTGGGAATGATTCACATGGTATGGCTGGTGCCTAGGCTCTGAACTACCAAGGTTAGTGTCCCCCCTTAAATACTGCCCCAAAGCTTTCTCCTTGTTTGTATGGCTTTCGAAGGAGAGTTGAACATTCTTCTGTATTTTACGTTATGTCCAACAGTGATGAAACCATGATGCAGGAAAAGGGCAAGATAGAGAAAGCAATAATTTTATGATACCCTTTGACCCTATAAATCACCTGGACACTTAAAGGTGTTTTTGGAGGTGCTTCTTTAGTCCTTCTAGTATCTGAAGTAGGCTGGATGTATACACTAGAGCCTTCTGCGTATTGACACAAAGATCAGGTAACACTCCCTGGCAAGGCTTCCCTTACTTCCTTGGAAGTTGATTTTTTGGTGTCAGCTTGGAAGGCTTCTGTTTTAAAAGACTCTTTGTATAGAAATGCTGGAGCCGTGGTGGCTCAGAGGTTAAGACGTTGAGCTGCAGACTGGAAGGTCTGTAGTTCAGCAATTTGAGACCCTAGTGCTGCGTGACGGACTGAGCTCCCGTTTTTGGCCCCAGCTCCTGCCAACCTAGCAGTTTGAAAGCAGGAAATTGCAGGTAAATAAATAGGTACTGCTTCGGAGGGAAGGTAACAGTGTTCCGTGCACCTCAGCATTTAGTCATGCTGGCCACATGACCAGGGAAATGTCTTCAGACAGTGCTGGCTCTTCAGCTTGGAAATGGAGATGAGCACCGCCTCCTAGAGTTGGATTCAACTAGCTTTCAAGCAAGGGAAACCTTTACCTTTACCTTTATATAAATGCTACAATCTTGTTTCTATTTCAGTCTGTGGTGAGTTCTTTTAAATGGTGGACAGCAGCTGGCATACGAGTGTTTGTTTTTGGACTTATTTGATGTTGCTACTTTAATACTAATTAAAATTTACTGCGAATCCAGTAGAGGATGCAAGGGCGGGGTAAATATGTATCTCTCCTATTATATAAAAGCATTTTGGGGTGGCCACCGGCCTATGGGGTGGCAAGAGGAAATGCACTCCCTCAGCCATTGGCCCGCCGGATGCCACTCGGGGCAACTGGCGTGCCATTGGCTGGGGGGGAGGGACAAGGCTAGCCAGCTTGGCGCTCGTGTGGCTGGAACGGGTGGTGAGCAGCCATCCCTCGCTCACCACCACTCCACCGCTACGTGCACCGCTTGCTCGGGCGGCCGGTGGGGAGAGGGGTGAGGCTGACCGCATTGCCATGCCGGACCCTCGAGTGAATGCGCAGGAGGGCAGGGAAGGAGCCAGCCCGCCCGGCTGGGCTGCTGCCGCCACCAGTACATGGCGGTGTGGACGGGTGAGGCCTGCCGCCTTCAGAGGAGGGACGAGGCCAGCTACCTTGCCCCACCACCTCCAGCGCATGGTAGGGGGAGGCGCGAGCCTGGCCGCTAGGGAGCCGCCACGCTCTCCTTTGCCAGTGCTTGGGGGGGCCTCCGGCGGCCTCTCTCTAGGGCTTGTTGCCTCTCTTCCTGCAATGAGCCTTGCACCTGGTATTCTAAATAAAAGAATTTACACTCTGCAGAATGTCCCAAGCTGTAAATTGCTGTTAACAGCTCAGAACTGATAAAGCAGTCTGTTTCCCAATAATCAAAACTTTCCTTTATGTGTCATTTTTATTTCAGTGGATTATGCACAGGATTATGGGTAGGAAAAGTTTCTGATGATTGCGTTGTGTGAATGCATGTGAATACATGTGGTGTTGGAGGATGTGAAGACCTTGTCAGTTGCATAGGTGTGGAGATGTTGTTTTCAAGCTTGTTGCTTATGCTGGAGAGCAGAATACAGAAACTCAGAGGTCCAGTACAACATGTCAACACAGGAGGTAGGTTCAAACACAACATGTCAAGGAGTGAGGTTATGCATAGTAACTCTGATATTTCAGGCAGAAGCTCTGAATATACCAAAGCGTATTATTTCGAGAACGCAAACAAACCAACGCGCTGGTTAGCCTATAAACTCAGGAAAGAAAATGAAAAAAGAACAATTGTAAAATTAAAGAATGAAAGTCAAGAAATAAAACATAAAAGCCAAGACTTAAAAAATATCGTGGAAGAATTTTATAAAAAATTATATAGTCAAGCAGAAACTGAACAAGAGGAAATCAAAGAATTCCTTAAAGAACATAATAAAAAGAAACTTAACGATGAACAAAGGAAAATCCTGAATGACCCCATAACAACTTGTGAGTTAGTAGAAGCATTCAAAAGACAAAAGAAAAAGAAAGCCCCAGGACCCGACGGTATTCCCGCGGAGGTCTATCAAAAAATGGAACACGAAATGTCACCACTATTCAAAGAATTGATTCAGGAGGCCTTGATTACGGGCGAGTTGCCAACAACATGGAATGAAGCATTAATATCACTAATACCTAAGCCTAACTCAGATGCCAGCGAGATAAAAAATTATAGACCAATATCGCTCCTGAATGCAGACTACAAGATATTTGCATCAATCTTAGCAACGAGATTCAAAAAAGTATTAATGCAAGTAATAAACAGAGACCAATCAGGTTTTCTGCCAAAACGTCAAATAAGGAACAATCTAAGAACAATAGTGAACATCATAGAATTTTACGAGCAACATCCTGGACACCAAATGGCACTGGTCTTCCTTGACGCAGAGAAGGCGTTTGACAATGTGAAATGGGACTTCTTGAAGAATAAGCTGAGTGAATGGGAATGTGGAAACAATTTCCAAACTTTAATAGCTGCTATTTACAAAGAACAATGGGCAAAAATAATTGTCAACGGAGAACTAACACAAAGCATTTCGATTCAAAAAGGAACCAGACAAGGCTGCCCTCTATCACCACTATTGTTTATATTTGGAATAGAGACATTAAACAATTTGATTAGAGAGAATACAAAAATAACTGGCCTTAAAATAAAAAAGGAGCAGTATAAACTTCAAGCGTTTGCGGATGACCTGGTGTTCATTTTAGACGAACCAACAACTGCAATAGAACATTTATTAAACACAATACATCTATACGGCGAAAGAGCAGGACTAAGAATAAATCTTGGAAAGACAAAAATTATAACAAAAAATTGCAACCAGAGAGAAATAGATAAAATACAACAGATAGCAAAAATCGAAGTAGTAAAAAAGGTAAAATACCTAGGTATTATAATCACGAATAACAATATGAATCTCTATGAGAACAACTATAAGGTATTATTAGAGGAAATCACAAAGGATTTACAAAAGTGGCAAGACCTACATATTTCATTAATGGGGAGAGTAGCCACCATAAAAATGAATATTCTGCCGAGGTTTCTTTTTCTGGCACAATGCATTCCCATCTTGAAAAACAATAATTTTTTTGATGAATTAGACCAAAAAGTGAGAAGGTTTATCTGGCAAGGCAAAAGATCTCGAATAAAATGGCAGCTTCTACGCGATAGAAAAGAAAAAGGGGGCTTAGGTGTACCAGACTGGAATTTGTATTACCAAGCAGCAGCCATGGGATGGATCCGTGATTGGATATTACTAGAAGACAAAAGGACATTACAACTGGAAGGACATGATCTATACATGGGCTGGCATGCGTATGTATGGTATGGAAAAGAGAAAATACATCAAAACTTCCATAACCATATCATAAGAGGGGCGTTGTACAAAACTTGGAAGAAAATTAAAGAAAGATTCTACAATGAAATACCACTCTGGGTATCACCATTAGAAGCCTTCATACTGCCAGCGTTGTTAACAAATGAAAAAAGAGCAACATATGAAACATTGTTAACCAAAGAAAAAAAATTGAAAACATTTGAGTCTTTACAAGAATTGAATTTGAACCTTACTAGTTGGGAAAAGACAGTATTGCACTCAAGGTTCAATAAGGACAAAAAAATGAACTTCGCAAAATCAAAGTCTGAATTGGATAAGATCTGGTTATCATCTGCGGATAAGCAAATCCAAAAACTATACAATTTCCTATTGAATGACAGTATGAAAGAGATAGCAGTTAAACCCAGCATGAAAACCTGGGAACAAAATATTGGCCACACAATACATTCAGAAGAATGGGGGAAAATGTGGAAATCTTTGAAAATTGTAAAAGCCACGACATATAAAGAGAATATATTTAAGATGTTTTATAGGTGGCACTGGACCCCAGATAAACTCTCCAAATGTTATAAGAATGTCTCAGATAGTTGCTGGAGATGTAAAAATAACATAGGTACTTATTACCATACTTGGTGGAGATGTGAAAAAATATGTAGCTTTTGGAAAATGGTTAAAAACCTGATAAAAGAGTTAACAGCAAAACCGTCCCGAAACGTTTCTTTTGAACATGATACCAGATAGATTGAGCAAGGACGATCACTGTGTTATTTTATATATTCTCACAGTAAGCAGAATCCTTGTAGCCAAGAATTGGAAAACTGATACATTACCCAGAAAAGATGAGATAGTCGAGAAAATCCTGGAAATAGCCGAAGCGGACAAATTAAATCAAATATTAGTAGGGAGAGATGACAAAGTTTTTAAGAAAAGATGGAACAAGGTAGATAAATGGATGGAAAAAAATGTATAAAGTACACTCAAAAGATTTTTATGTAAAACTGAACTTCTTTTTTTTTTTTGTTTTTTGTAACGGAAAATACATAAATAAAACTTAAAAAAAATATTTTCTTGCATATACCCTTGTGCTATGATGGCAGTCCATCTAGTTTGGTAGTCTGGCAGGCAACATTTCTCTACTGTGTGAGTTTCTGCATAGGGACATTTTTGGCATTATGAGGATAAGAACATAAGAACATAAGAGACGCCAATGTTGGATCAGGCCAAAGGCCCATCCAGTCCAACACTCTGTGTCACACAGTGGCCAGTAATACCAGTGCCATCAGGAGGTCCACCAGTGGGGCCAGGACATTAGAAGCCCTCCCACTGTTGACACCCCCCCCCAAGCACCAAGAAGACAGAGCATCACTTGCCCCAGAGCCCCTAGCTATACCTTGTGGCTAATACGCTTATCTAATTCCCTTTTGAAGCTGTCCATGCTTGTAGCCGTCACTACTTCCTGTGGCAGGATCTTCTGCATATAGAGTGGATGCTGTGCACTGAGCCATGCCTCTTTCCTTTCACAGGTTCTTATATATGCAGACATTCATATATAAACAATACATCTGGAAAGTGTGCATGGTATAGTGGTTAGAGGGTAGGACTAGGGTGACTTGGGCTCAAATCCTCATTTAGCCATGATGCTCACTGGATGTCTTTGGGCCAGTCTTTCTCTCTTAGCTAGAGATGTAAACTTTCCAGAATTTTTTGGGAGGGGGATCTAGAATTTTTTTTTGTGATGGGAGAACTGAATTATACACAGTGCTTTCCTCTCTAAGCTAAACTTCTTTTACTGATTTACCAGCATTGTCCGTAGTTTGTGAAATTGCACAGTTTGGCTCATTTATGGAACTTGAAAGTATAAATGTTTTTGTTTTCTGTAAGAAATATTGCAAGCACACCCAAAACTTGTGTAGGAGTTGCAGACTGCTGCACCCTTTGCTACCATGGCTCATAAATTTTAATTTTTGCCATCTGAGAGGTAGGGAAAAATGAATGTTGAAAATAAAATGCATTATTTACACTGAAGAAAGTGTATTATTTGCATAGAAACACCCTCATATGGTCACAACCACCATATTTGGAATACCAAGTTATATTTTATAATATTGAAAATGCTGAGCTTTTAAATAATATATTATTGTTAAACACTCTATAGCATATTAATTGTTGCCTAAATTATTTACATTTAAACAAAAAACATATTCTTGAGAATGTATGTGTCTACAGAATACACATGAATTATCATTATCTAATGCTATAGATTGTCTTACATAAAATTTTTTCATGGTACACATTTTGGGTAAAACCTTCTCTTAAGAAGAATTTCACTCATTCCAAAGGGGGAGAGGATATCATAGGAGTTTTTTTCAATGTTCCCCAAATTTCTCAACTTTCCTGCCAAAAATATCGAAAAAGTCTTGCATTTTTTCATGCTATACATTTTCAGCAAGAGAAACCTTGTCTTAAGAACCATATCACTCATTCTAAAAGGTAAAACATTTCATAAGAGTTTTCCAGTGTTTCTCAAAATTTTCCTAATGTTTCATTGGGAAGATTAAAACAAAAAGTCCTCCGGGGGGGGGGGGACCCCAGATCCATAGTATTTTTCTTTTTAATTTTTTAAATTAAAACAAATTACAGATATATACAAAAAAATACAAAATGTTCATACGATACATTGCTGATCTATACCCCCTTTCATCCTGCTTCCACGGACATAGAAAACCCTTCACCAGCAACTGACAATGTTAATACTATTTCCAATTATATAATTGCCAGTTTCATACTTTGTATCGCTCTTGACCTTAAAAGACTGACCCCTCATATTTTCCTGTCACCCCTGGACCTTCATATTGCTACTCGCAGCCTAACTTACCTCATAGGATAGTTGCAAGGATAAACGGATGAAGGCAAGACCTATGTATGCTCCCTTGCATGGACGAAGGATGGGAGAAAATGTAGTGACAGACACGGGCTGCATGAATACGGTTTTATTCTGCCAGAGACCAGTCCTGCCAACCTGATTCAGCTGCTGTTGCTGAACCACCAATCTGAATCACCTTGATTGTGTGTACATTCCTTTTTTTTCTTTCCATGTGGAAGATGGCACCATTGCCATTTAAAGCAGAACTGAGAGAGCTCTGTGCGCTTTAACACAGTATTTTGATACCCTGCATTTGAAGTAACACTTTGCCAGTAGAATCACCCTTACTTCTTTCCCCTCTGCAATTACATACCATTTTGCACAGCTTCTGATGGTTCGCAATGCTGCAGTTTTGTATGTTCACCTACTCTTGTGTCTGCTGCTCTGATACCAAGTTCCTTGGCATCTGCCCTCCCAACTGTGGCCAAGCAGCTGCAGGGTGTATCTATGCTTGCTAAAACAAGATACACTTGTTGTCACTCTCTGAAATATCTGTGGTGGTGGTTCCCCCTGGGAGGGAAAATATGTCCATGTCCAAGTGATATGCTTTGTGTTGTGCTTCCTGTTTGCTGTTTACTTATGATATTTGTGAGTTGCCTCTCTGCTAAAAAAAATACTTGAGGTGATGCACAATAAACCTGCTGGGATTTCAAGAACCTGGCTTGAAGTAGCTGCCTTCCATGCTTGTCACTGCCTAACGGATTAAATAAGCAGAGCACTTACCTACTGAACATATTTTTACATGGCACTTTTCAGTTCTAGGGGCTACATATAAATAAAAACAGTTCAGATGATAGTGATCCATAAATACAATAAAACACGTTTTAAAACATGCAATAAAATTTGTTCATAAGACATGAACAAAGAAAACAACACAAAGTGAGGGCCAACAAGAACAACTGTTGACCATTACTAAAAGGGCAATGACTACTTAGGTCAGAACTGCTAGACAGGACATCTGTGGTGGCAATGACATTCAAGCAGGACTTTTCTCCACCATTACTGTAGCAATGCACTTTCTAAAAAAGCAGGTGCAAGTTTGGGGGGGGTAGCAAAATGTTTCTCATATATGTTCCTGCTCTTCTCTCTCTTCCCTTCAGGCTTCTTTTAGTAGTCTTGTGGTGTCACTTGAAGAAAGGGAATGTCTCTTTCACTTAGAATCCCTGGGAGCTTGATAGTGGGTAGTTGTCTCTGGGCTGCTTTATCTTCCTTATATCCCCCCCCCCATGCTGCTGGGTCTGTCGAATTGCCCGCTATGGCAGGCAACTTCCTGCCTGATCATCTGTGCATCAAAATGGTGGGCAAAAAATTGGCATCAGTGATGCCCGGACATCACTTCTAGTTTTGGAACTGGAAGTGTGACACTCTAGGAATTTGGTTTGGGAAATTCCTAGAATGTTGCATGATGCTGTGACATCACTTCCAGTTCCAAAACCTGAATCAATGTCATGGCATCACCAATATTGATTTTGAAGTCTCTGTCCCCATGTTGCTCCCAGGGATTGCCAGTCAAAGGTTGGCAACACTATCTGTGGTACAGAGTTACAACAGATGGCAAGATTAAGAAGGAGTTAATGTTCAGAGGGGAGGCTGTAATGTATTCAGAAGCTGCCATGAATGCATTAAGATGTATGTAAACCATCTCATAGGGAAGCTATGTTAAGCTTCGTCTTGGCCAGGGATTCAAGCCAAGACAAATGCGACCAATCACATTCAAGCAGGCTACAAGCGGGAACGTTTGTGATTGACCTTTATGCGATCAACCTGATAGGTTGTTATCTGTAAAGTAGGAGTGGCTATATTAGCCGGGAAATGTTTAAATACCGAGCAGCTACAATGGAAAGCTGTTCGGGCTATCAGATGTTGTACCGTGTTGGAGAAGTGATCGTGAAGAAGAATAAACTTGAGTTTTGGCTGAAATCACTCTCTGACTCTTTGTTAAGCTCAGGACTTAACAGAGGCCATCTGCTTCCTGGTGGTGTCTGGGAAGAAACAGCTATGCTATGGTTGTTAAGATGGCTGCTGGAATGGTTGAAGTTAGGGCCTTCAGGCCCAAGTTGTATTATGTGTAAATAAACCTGTTGAATACCTTCACAAGTGGGGCACCTGGAGGATCTTTCTAAGCTCCTATAATAACACTTTCAAAACAACATGGTCCTTCTGCATTTGGATCTCAGCTTCTGATTTGGCATGAACCAGTCATTGCCATTAAAACTGACAAACTGGTTAGCAATTCCTCTGCAAAACCAGGATTGTAAATCAGCTTCAAACTGTAGTTGGCAATCCAGGCTTGGAAGTGCAAACTGCCATTTGCTGGTTTGGATGTAACAGCAGAGCAAAGTACTGTTTGTGCCAAAGCAGAAGTCACTGACTACTAACTTTGAGCATCCAAGGAAAGGAAGGCATGGAAGCACAAGGTTGGTTTATATAGCATTGAACAGTGATGTGGCATTCTGTCTCAAACCGAGCTACCTTCTGGAGGGGCAGGATGTCTAACAGCCACTCAACATTGTTCCTCTCTTTTCCTCCAGGGCGGTCTGATTGCTCTCCTTTTGCTGCTGCTGGTGTTCACCGTAGCTTTGTATGCCCAGCGTCGTTGGTATAAGCAACGCAGGATTCCACAGAAGAGCGCCAGCACGGAGGCCACCCATGAGATTCATTATATCCCATCGGTGCTGCTGGGCCCCCAAGGGAGAGAGAGCTTCCGGAACTCACGCTTGCAGGCCCACAACTCAGTCATTGGCATGCCCATACGTGAGACCCCTATCCTGGATGACTATGACTATGAGGAGGAAGAGAACCCTCTGCGACCTGAGCATGGCTGCAGGGAGGACGAGTTTGGCGGCTCGGTGACACGGCCCTTGGACAGCCTGGGCAGGAATGAGGAGAAGCCCGACTATGAGAAGACAGGTTTGTTCACTCGGTTCCATTTCCTTTGCCAGAAGCAGGCTGTTATGGAATGTGCTGGAGGGTCATTAAGAAGTGATGAATGAGCAGGGGGGTGGCTTACCCAAACCATGCCGGGTTTTCAATCTTCCTTCTCCCCAGGTTGTGTTGTGCAAGCACAGTGGGCTGCTGCACTTTAAAATGAGCTTCGGTTTCCAAGAGCAGTTTCCTGGCAAGTAGCAACTGATAATGCTAATGACCCCACCATAGGGGATGCTGTTGGCGGCTAGTGCTTCAAAGCAGAAAAGAACAAGTTAGTTCAATTTTTAAAGCAAAGTGAGTCATTGTCTTCTACTTGGGTGTTGGTGTACTTGGTACCTCTATAGGGACGCGACCTCTAGTATAGGGCGTGCTAATTAATCCCTTCCCCAGGTTATGTGGCAGTCAGTGTTCCCTCTAAGATGAGTTACTGTGAGCTAGCTCACGGTTTTTAAGCCTCCAGCTCCCACATGTTTCTCTTAGCTCAGGAAGGATGGCTCCAGAGCAAACTAATTTCTGCAGTAGCCAAATTGCTTGCTCACAACTTTAATGCTAGTAGTTCACAAAGTAGAATTTTTGCTTACAAGACTCCACAGCTTAGAGGGAGCATTGGTGGCAGCCATTGCTTAAGACTGAACTTCACAACTTCCAAATCATCTTATCCTGCTAGCTGAATGGAACTTTTTGTGGGAGTGGCAGGGATGCTTTGAAATATTTCAGGGAACTACTGTGTAGATTTTAATTTGGATTTTGATCTCTGAAGTGTAGAATTATAGTCTTATAATGCATTTCTAAGGCAGAGAGGTCGATACCATATTCTCAATTCCCACGTGGTGGGTCAGTGGGGAAGCGAAGAAAATCCTTCCCCTCTTAGACCTTGGCTGTGGATAACGAGGAGTTTGGTTGCCATTTCCTCTACTTTTTCTTTAGGAGACAAGGTTACAAAATTCCAAACTAGAGTTCCACCATGTAAATAGGAAAGTGGTAATTAATCTTAAAGGATCTTCTCTGATTGTTGCTTTGTTCAGAACATATATGGACTTGATTCAATCTCATGTTTCAGATTCTGCATGCACATGAAAACTTATACCTAGAATTAAACTTTGTTGATCTTAAAGGTGCCACTGGACTCAAACTTTGTTCTACACATTTCATAGACTTCATTATAGTTTGTCTATGACAAAGTAATAATATGATTCCACACATCCTCCTAGTGATACTTCCATTTTCCCAGATGGGCAGTGGGAACTATTTATATCAAGAAGAAACATACCAAATGGAAAATATTTGCGAGAGAGGTCTATGGAACCTAAATATCTGGAAACCTTAGGCATTATCATAAGGATCTTTCTTACTACCAGTTCAAACCAATCCAGATTCTTTGATTAAGCATACTCAAGTAACCGTTGTTCTTTATATGTCAAGATGAAAACCAGTGTGGCCTAGTGAATAGCTAATGGTCATACATGTTGTTTAACATTCAGAATAATTGATTTAAATTGGTGACTGGTTGCTGAGCAGGAGGAATCAGTTCTGTTGTACATTTACTGAGTGGCTGAACATGTTTTTAGCAGCAAGCCCAGTATGGAAGACTGCTTGGCATGTTTGGGGGGCATGCTTTGGTCACATACATCATCTCATTCCTGGGTTAAACCCAGGCAAATTGGTTTTTTTCCATTTTGTGCCCAAGTACTGATTGGATGATTCTTGCATCACCCACAAAGCCAGCTCCCCAACTTCCTTGTAGCAATTTTTCAAGTGTAAAATCCAGTGGGGGGGAGAAGTATAACTCTTTTTCAAAGCAGCAAATAATAATAATAAAAAAACCAGACCGGATAGCCTTCCTGATGAAGAAGTAATCAGACTTTCATGTGGAGGCTGTGTTGGATCCCCAAGCATCGAGAATAAATCCACGTTTCAGAAAAGCAAAATTTATTTCAAAGCTTTGGAAAGATACTCAAACAAGTCCTTTGTTAGGAATGGGTACAAACAGCCAGGGCAAGTATAATAAAGGGATTTGAACCAGGTACCGAACCAATGGATCACTTTCCCGCTGGCGGGTAAAGGGAAACGGTTGCGCGCTCAATCCTGGGAACAGTACTATCTCCAGACATAACACAGGTGCAGTTCCCAGGCTCTAAAGGCAACAATCTAGCATTCAAGCTCACCTCCTACACCACGTCCTCCAGATGTTCGGCTTAGCATTACAGCAGAATAAAATACAGGCTAGCAGGCAGAGGGGGGGAGAAGAACTGTACAAGCGTACAAGTAACACAGAACACAATGGCAGCTTGCTGACATACTGCCCCCTCCAAAATACATCTTACCCTCCGTCTCCCGGGCAGGGCGGGAGATCTCCCGGATTGGGCGGGAGGCCTCCCAGTTTGTCCGGGAACTCCTTGTGGAACTTACGAATCAGATAAGGGGCCCGAATATCCCCTTCTTCCACCCATTCGCGGTGCTGGGGTCCAAAGTCCACCCACTCAATGAGGTACCAGAGCTTACCACGTTTCAGTTTGGAGTCGAGGATGTCCGCAACCTCAAAATGCTCATCCCCCTCAAGCAGCACAGGCGGAGGGGGAGTCACAGAGGGCCTCCAT